CCAAATTCTCATTCAATCTCGATATTTTGAGATCTTTGAAAACTATTAGATTGATTTTCATTTGCATTTCAAAAATATTTTGAAGATTTGAGGAGCTCATTTGACCGACTTATAGTTAGATTTTCAAGCATAAAGCTTCAATATACCTAAAATTTCATTAATAATTAAAATTTTCACTTCAGTGGAATGAATTTGTAAAATATACTTGCATGCATGGTGCACCAGCAAAATTTAAAATCGATTTACGCTCACAATACGTTGAATACGTTCAACTAACGTCTTTAACGTTCAATACGTTCAAATTACGATTTCAACGTCCAATACGTTGAACTTACGTTTTCAACGTTCAATACGTCGAATGTACGATTTGAACGTTCAATACGTTGAATCTACGACTTAAATTTCGACTCGGGGTGGTTTGTTCCTCTCTTTGGGTTCTTTCGTAGACTTATCGATAAGAAAATGTTATTTTTTTAACGATATTTCATTTTCGGCTGAAGAAATTTTTTTTTCACTCTTTCAGGGAGTACCCCATTTTGCCCGCAAAAAAAAAAATTTTTTTTCCACGGCAACTTGAAATTTGATTATTTTCCTTTAATTACGACTGAAAACGAGAAAAATCAGCGTATTTAAGACCTTAAAATCATAACGATTGCTTAAGTACCCCATTTTGCCCCCCCCCACCCCTATAATAAAATTGATGGATAAGTTACATACATTAAATTAAATAAAAAGCAACGTGAATTATTTCGTTTATTAAGAATTTGAAACGCTAAAATTATTTTTCATTTTTTTTTTGTTATCTAAAAAATCTAATAATAATAATAATAACAATAATAATTATAAAAAAAAAAAACGAATAATTTGGATTAATTTTACTAATCAGTATTATTATTATTATTATTATTATTATTATTATTATTATATTACATATTAATGGGAAGACTAAAAATCATATGTATACTATAATAGCAGTATTAGTTATAACTATAACATGTAGTATTAGTGGCGGCAGTGATAATATTAGCAATAGTAGTATATATAGTAGTAGTAGTAGTAGGATTATAGTAATAGTCTTAACAGGACAGGATGTTTATATTTTATGTTTTATACCTAATCGTTAATTTGAAATGTTATGTGATACACTATAGTCAATTATCGAGTAATTATACTTCATGTACTTGGGAAAAAGACAGTATTAGTTAATCTATTAAATGATATCAGGGTTTTGTTACACGGGCCTCAATGTAGATAAAAAAAATTTAATTTATAATTTATAAATTACGTATATGTATACGCATAGCGTTAGAGCGTTAGAACGTTAGATCGCTAGATCGTTAGAGCAACTCTTCATTTTCATCTTGTATTCCGTACATTTGTGGTTTATTTTCTTGTTGATGCTGATAATTTTGTAATGGTTGTTTTCGATTCTGTAACAGCGCAATACTGGCAGCCTTGTAGTTAATAGGTCCATAAGATCTATAGTCAACATCTGCGTAATCCAAGTCTGAGAATTCCGGCTTAAAAGGCTGTGAAAAATGCAATATTACATTTAAAATTAAATATTATTATGAAATTAAAAACAATTAAATGAACAAAATTTTTCATTGAAAAGACCGTGAAAACTGTTGTTATTACATTTTTATAATTTTTTTTCTGTGTGCCTTTATATTATAATATTAACAAATCGATAATAAATTTGAAATATCTCATGAATTACAAATATATCATGCTTGTTTATAAATTTTACTTTGACATTGATAATGATGATGTTATATTAAAAATATAGTTAATGGATTTTACAATGTTAGAAAGATAATGAGACACAAATTACGAGCTATGATTTTGGGATAACATTAAACACTTACATTAAACATTTACTATTTAATTATTTCTTTCCTTAAATTAATAATTAATTAAAAAAAATTATTCCCGAAGATTTATATTATTCTTAAATTGTTTATTCTAATAATACTAATAATAACCTAACTTAATTTAAAAAAAAAATATTAACAACATACTGCATCATTGTTTACTATAAAATGATTACTTTTCTTTTTAAATGAAACTGTCGGTAATCACAAAATCGTATAATGTACAGTATAAAATATAATCAAAAGTAAACGTCAATTCTAATATTCTATAATATATTATTAATTATTACTTATTACCTAATATATGATTGAAATAAAATTAAATAATTATTAAAATGAAGAACGCGAGACAGCTTGGCCACCAAATTATATAGAATACATAAATACGAAAATAAAAAGAAATAATAATATTAAAATAGTTGTCTAAGTATTGACCTCAGTAGCATAAAGGTGATGATCGAAAAATTTAGTACCTGCAGCGTCCGGTTGCTGCTGCTGGGATGGTGTTATGCGTGGATCCTATACACAATATAGATATTCTCCAACCGGAAACATTCTTTAGTAAATATACGTATCGCTCTTCGCTCGCTGGGTGTCCTATGAACAACAAACATTTGTGCAATATACAATTGTCGAGCTGTGAACTGTTTCACCCGATTAATAATAATTGGTCAATGGTCTCTAAAGTTTACACCGGATATGCCAAAGTTATATATCACTTTATAGAATTATATAACCGATTTCCAGTTTCCAGTTTCCACTTTCAACTTTTCAGTTATTTTTATTTTCATGATTCTTTTTCATTTTACAATTCTTTATTATTCTTGTGTTTTTTCTATAATTTTCGTTTTCCTGTCACGGTTAAACGATTTATATTAATTAATCTCTGGTATATACCGTAACACATACACACCGACAGACTTACATTGTATTAAAACAATGGCCGAGCTTTTATACGGCATAGCTTGGATTAGCAATGGATTTTAGAAACAGACAACTTACATCGGAACTCGCTCCTCTGCTTTTATTTCTACTTTATCTTAAATCAACACGTGAGTACGAATTTCCGGCTTTTGGAATAAATCTTTTACCAACAGTGTATTTAAGTAAAAACAAAAAAAATGAAAAACTACCGAGTTTTATAAATTTTATAAAAATTAATCTATACAGCTATAAAGCTATACAGCTATACAGCTATACATCTAGACATCTAGACATCTATACACCTAGGCATCGAGTTTTTTTTTTTTTTTTTTTTTTTTTTTTTTTTTTTTCTAAATGCTTAAATTATTTTAAATGTATGTATAACTTATGAATAGTAATAATAAAAAAAGATGTGATTTGTTGAAAAATAATCATACCTTTTAAACATCGATTTCTTGACCAATATCACGAAAGTTATTAACAAGTTGAGTATATTGATTGACAGTGATTGTTGAATTTACTGCTTCGGAATCTAATACTGTTGTTGTTGATGTTGTAGGTGTTGTTGTTGTTGTTGTTGTTGTTGTTGTTGTTGTTGTTGTTGTTGTTGTTGTTGTTATCGTTGGCGTTGTCGTTAACGTCGTCGTCGTCGTCGTGGTCGCTGTCGTCATCGTCGCTATTGTTGTTGATGTATTTATTTGCTCTTTAGAGCTCTCAAAATTTATTTGTTTATTATTATCTTTTATAATTTGATCGGAATAGTAATTTGATGAATTTTGTTTAAATTTTTTATTTTTATTTTGTTGCAAGTCTATATCAAGGGTATTATTATCTTGTTGTTGATGATGATGATGATGATGATGATGATAAGAGTTTAAATATGATATTTTAAAATTTTCAGGTATACCGAGTTCCTGAATTCGAGCAAAACTAGTTTCACAAGACGCTGATAAACTTGATATTGTTATATCATTAGTTGATGATCTATTACTAAAATTATTACGGCCATCTGATGAACGTCTGTGTTTTATTCTACGATCATTACCACGCTCGTGTTTACGATGTTTTTTTCGTTCACTACGTCGTTGTCCTGTTGATGATTGTCGTTGATTTTGTATTTGATAATTATTATCAAAATTACCATCACAACTATCAAAATCAATTTTTTTACCATGGAATAACGATAGCGATAATGACATAGTATTATTGTCACTTATTGTATTACTATTGCTATAACTATTACTGTTACTATTACTATTTCTATTAATATAATCATTTTCACTTATTGGATTATCATTATTTTTATAACGATTACCATAATTATTTTTATCATTTTCTTGACCAATTGGTTTTACTCCTGCTGACATGGTTAATCCTGATGATGATGATGATAGTCCCAGTGTTGATGGTGTTTTTTTATTAGTTATTATATTACTACTATTTAAATTATTAGTAAGATTAGTTTGAATTAATGAAACTAGCAAAGGATTAACTGCCGAAGAATTATATAAACTCCTTGTTAATGGCAATGTTAGTTGATGATGATGATGATTATTATTATAACTGCTATTACTGCAACTACTGCTGCTTGGATTATATTTATATTGTTGCATTTCTTGTTGTTTCTGCTGTTGATACTTTTGATAATGATCTTTATAATCATACTCGTTCATTTGCTGCTGCAACAACCATTAATAAGCTTGGATTAATTTTATATTATTTTTAAATAATACATTCAATTTATAGAAACATTTTTTAATAACAGAATTATTATAAAATTGTAAATTAAAATTACTATACATATTATGTATAGTAAAAATTGAAATATTATCAAAATGATACTGTGACAATAGTAAAATGCAATTATTTATTAAAACATTGATCAAAGCTAATTAATATTAAAACTTACTTAATAATAATGAACATGCACAAGAGCGGTGAATATATAGATGTCTCGATCCAGCTTAGCGAAAAATAAAATACGACATCCGATTAAAACTTGCCATATATTTTCCTCAGAATTCTATTAATTTTATTTGGTTCTTCATTATCATTTTTGATAATAATCTTGGTATTAGTATCTCTTTGATTTTTTATACTTCTCTCATTTTCTCTTTTTTATCAATTTTTCATTAATATATACGGATATGTATATTTAATTTTTTAGAATTGTAAGCTTGAGTGATGATTTGATGAATATTTATCAGCTTTAAGTCTAAGTCAAGTAATAAAAAATGGATTTTTTTTTACTAATTTATATTAATTATTAAAACTGATGTCGATTAACAATAAGAGCGCAACGTATAATCATTTTTTCATGAAACATTACTTTATTACCGTTTTTATATTATTAGTTTATATTTACGACTATATAATTGGGTTGTGTAATAAACTTATAGCTGATGTAACTGGCTTAAGGGAAGCGTGTATTCCCAAAGCGAATTTACGTTTACTAATTAATGTCGCTGTGTAGTAAACAAACGTATATATGAATGTTTGACGATACACAACTGAGACATAAGGGAATTTTCGTTGAGATGGCCATCATTATTTGAGTTAATAAACATAGTATTATTATTATTATTATTATTATTATTTTTAAACTCTAAACAGTCTTTGAATAATTTACTTAACATTATTATCAATTTAGTAATTAAATTCTAATTGATTATTATATATAATATATATTAATAGATTGATGATGGCCACATCACTTAAAATTTTCCCAAATTCCAAGAGTAATTAATTAAACGACAAACCTTGGCGGAATCCGTTGGGAATATTGGACGAGGAATATTTTGATAAATATGCTGTGATATATCAGTTTTTCTTCGTCTTGGTGTAGGTACTGGTGGTACTTGACTGTTATTTATTACTGATTTATAATGCGTAGATAATAATAATGATGATGATGATGATGATGATAATAGCTCATTAGATTTTATATGTGAGTATAAACAAGAAGAGAGAGAAGATTTTTTTTTTTTCAATAGTATACTATCTTTTTTAGGTGTTGTTATAATATTTGATGACGGTATCGTAGTTGTTGATTCAACAGTGCTGATGCTGTTAAAACTTTTGCTGCTAATACTATTCTTAATATTTTCGCTTTTATGCGGACATGATTTTATAATCGGTATAGCGTACAGTTGAAAATTACAACGTTGTTGTTCTAATTTTTCAACTTGTTTTTGTTGATTATTATTATTATTATTATTATTATTATCATCATTAATGTTATGTTTGCGACATAATCTCAGTGAGTAAAATTGGTGTGAATGGTTAAGTTGTTTACGTCGTCTTGGTTTGAATGTGTTGTATTTGAGCTCTGGAGAGTTGTTTCTCGGCATATTATGGTAACTGTAGTGAGGACCCAAGTGACTGGGTGTTGATTCGTAACCGGAACTGCCAGCACTATCAACATTACCAGCACTACCAGCACAGAGACTAGTCGCTCGACTCAATGGACGTGAATTGCTACACGTTGGTGACAATGATGTTAGCGTTGTGCCATGCAAAGCCGAAACTCGAGCAAACTTAGGAGAAGCCACACACTAAAACACAAGGCGTTGCGTCCAAAGACGCCAGACACTACTATTGTAATTCTTTTTATATTATTATTATTATTATTATTATTATTATTATTATTATTATTATTATTATCATTATTATTATTATACATTCTGTACTGTTTATAAATACTTATAAATCTACTTAATATTTATTTTTCATACAACCTACCTTAGTTGAATTATTGGATTTCATATTAAATCATAATAATATACTAACGTGCAACTAATTATAATTATTTATATATTATCTAAATTTTGCATTAAATAAAAATTAAAATATTTCAATTATTGTTACAAACTATCACGAGATCATCCATAACTATTTTACGTAAATATATATAATTATGAGTAACACAAGCTGAATTTTATATCGCAAACGAGTGTAAATCTCTGGTTTAACTTGATTATCGATTAAGTTACTGAGATTCCGCGCGATACACCGAGCTACTCAACTATTGAGTGAGTTTATGTTAACTTAGACGTGGTTAACTTTTAAATCAACTAGACTATTTAATACGTAACACACGAGTAAGTACAGACTCCCGCTACTAAGATGACACACTACCAATTTTAATAATTTTGGGTGATTAAATTCCAAATGATGGATATTAATGTCATTTTATTTATTTTTCTCTCATACTTTTTCCATAAATATATCAATGAATAAAAATATGTTACATTTACTATAATCAATACTAACAAAATTCTTTCAATTCTTTGATTTATGTGCTATTTGTATGCTCTGAATCTGAGATTAATTCAATATCCGTGACGACCGATTTAGAATATCTTAAAGAGTCGATAAATTCAAAAAAGTTATAGATGCATTTATCCTGTCACACCAACAATTTATATTGATAATGTATAAATTTAGATTTTGGTAAGATTAAATGTTTTTTTAATTAATGTTAGGTAAAAATGATAAAATTTTTATATAAAGTATATGACATAAAAAAAAAAAGAACATTGGATAAGATAAAATTGGAGTAGATAGATTTGTACTGTCAGAGCATTTGAGTAATGTAAATCTTTTCACGAGACTAAGCAGTCTGAGGATACGACACTAGCACTAGCAAAGTTTTTACAAACTATACTGCACTCAAAAATACAATATATATATATATATCTGATAACTACATTTTGGCGGTCTAATGCCATGGAGTATTAGTCGAGTATGTTGATGGAATAAAGTATAGAATAAAGTATACTTAAATATATTTAAGTATTTTTCTTTTTATTTTTGCTCTTATTCAGAAAAAATAAATAAAAACTAGCAGTAAACCCTTGACTTATAATTAACCAATCCCATTAGCTCCATTAAAAATCATATGATTTATTTGTTTACTCTTTATTATTGTATATATATATATTTGTAAGTCAGTCAATTGTAAATTATTATCCAAAAAAATTTGATCAATATGATTTACTTGTTAATATTATTATGATTAAAAAAAAAAATTATTTCTTGTGCTTTTAATTAATTTAAAGCCCTTATGAAATGCAATATTTTACGCCGGTTTTACTAATGGTACTAAGACTAGCAGTTTAAATATAGTCGTACGATATTATTCAAACATTTGGTGCTCATTTATCACGCTTCGCGAAATCCACTTGTTACAGACATACTTAAAAACTCTCGTTACGCTACTTAAAAAATTATGCGAGCAATAAATATATATATATATATATTTTAATGGTATGTTTGGTTTATTCATTTATAGCTTTATTTTTTAATTATTATGAAAATAATTATAATTCGAATTGTCGTAATAAAAAAAATTAAAAAGAATAATGCTACCAATAGAATCAAGCTGTTGAAGCAATTTTTTCACGAATACATCGAAATTTTAAATATAAAATAGTAAATAGTTGATATATTACTAAAGTTATCATCAGGGAAATAAAATTTTTAAACCTTTAAACAACTATTCATGCTAACATTATTTATAAATATATAAGGTGTTATTAATTACAATAACATAACATTTAATAAAAATATAAAATAAATTACCTTGTTTGGTGGAGTTTGGATTCCGTGAAATGGAAGATTTTCATAGAAAGTTTTGGCATCCGATTCTGGTTGCAACCCTTCGGAAACACTATCAATATGACTATTTTTATTCCCTTGATGGCCAGGATCTTTAACAATAAATTTTATTTACACGTCAATATAAAATATTAACAAATGTTTATTTATCATTTTATATTTTTTCTTTACTTGTTATGATAGGCTTCAAACGCCTTTATTTTTTAGATTATCAAAAATAATATTAATCAAGTTGAGTCATAAATTGCATTATAAATAATTATTGATGATAGATGAATAAAATAAAAGTAAAAAGAAAAATTTTTTTAATTTTAAAAATGTTATAGAGTAAAGTGATTTTGAAAGAAAATGTTTTATATTGGATAAATGAATTTAAAATATGGTAGCATATAGCGAGCATTCCATCAAATAATATTGTATAAACTATAAACATACCTGCTCCCGGCTTTTTGCGCTTACGAGATACATTGGAATTTGCGTTTATGTTAACATCACCACCACCGCAGTCAGTGCCATCGGCGGAGGTGTCGCAATTTGATGCAGCAAGTGTTGGGGTATTGTACGACATCCGTTGCCGAGGTACTATTCTTTTATAAGTCACAGCTGAGGGAAATATACATAAAACACATACAACATCGAGCAATCTCACAAATACACATAAAGCTTGTTAGACAGTAATAAATACAGAGCAATCTATTGCTGTGTATAACCATGCATACACAACAACATCAATATCAATGATACTGTTATTATTATCATTATCATTATTATTATTATTATTACTATAATAATAATAATAAAAACCGTTCTAGAATGCTACGACGCCTGAGGCTTTACTTTTTCGTGCTTTTACACTTTTACATATACATTTAAGTATATTCGTCTTTTGACTTTTGTCATTTACTCTTATTTATGTCTGTTACTTAAATTTCACTCCTCAGTTTATTTTTTCATTTTTTTTTCTTTTCATTTTCTATTTTACTTGGCCTCTGGCAATCAGCCTTAAATTCTGACAATTTTGTGGCTTTTGAGTTTAAAAAATGCTTATTAATACTTAAACACAGAATATAAATTGATGTAGTGTCAGCCATGTAATAAATAACAATTAATTTTTATTATATTAACAGAAAAGAAAAAAAAAAAGATTTATTTTGCAAAAAGATACAATTTTTTTTTTTTCCAATCAAGTATACATTTATTTATAAAATCAATTAGTTTAATTTGACTAATAGTTGAAATGTTTGTAATCGAATAAAAGTTATCAATTGTTGATGATTGATGATGATATTAAATAACAATACTTAATAATGATACAATGAGAATTAATAAATAATGAGATAAGCGACTTACCTGTTTTTTCTCTGGATATACCGGGAAATGAATCAGGCTCCTTTAATTGCGAACTAAATATTGCTTTTAACCTATTAGCTCGTGCAATCATGCCTTCATCATGAACAATATTATGTATAGGAATACCCATTTGGGTAATAGTCGTAGTTTTTCCGCGTCTAAATGGTTTAATCGGTCGTCTAGTGACTATTATTTCGTCTCCTCGCGTACGATATCGATCGACTTTATAGTTTTTATTATTAGTAGTCATCATCGTATTCATAGTTGTGGTTGGTGATGACGTTATTTCTGCTGTTGTTGCAGAAATTGTTTCTGTTGTTGTTGTTGTTGTTGTTGTTGTTATTGTTGTTGTTGCTGCTGCTGCTGCTGTTATTGTTGTTGTTATCGATGGTAATGTTGGTAGTATTGTGTGTATATGATGATTTGAAGTTGAGAGCGGAACTGGATTTAATCCTGAACTGAGGCTATGCGTGCGATTAATGTGCACTAAAACTCCTGGTTTTAAAGGCCATCGTGGAACTGGGTTTGAGTGAAGGGATGGGCATCGTCCATGTGAACGTATCGACTCTGTCGGGCTCGGTGGACCACCGTCCGGACTAATAATCGAATTTATTTTATTTAATTATTTTTCTTCTTCAAAATATTACAAATTATAGATCATTACTTAAACAATTACTATTACGAAAATATTTAATTGATATTTAAAATAAATAACTCGAATTATAAATATAAAATTTTATTCTTGTTAAATAAACTTTTATTTTGATTTCATCCCTCAACATCCTTCAAAAAGTAATTTCCTCACCTACCTAATAACCCTCTTCAAAGTTTCTGTAATTATTGCGTCTCGTGTGTTTGTAAACACGCAACGTAAAAGCACTTATATGCTTTCTAAACTCTAGACTGTTGTAGGGTAAAAGTAAATGTAATTGTTATTTTAAATCGATAATTTGAATCAATTAATTTTTATACGTTGTTTCAAAAATAAATAATTATCATACTATTAAATGTTGGTTTGTTTATTGAGTTTATTATTATTATTATTATTATTATTATTATTATTATTATATATTTAAATTTAAATAACTATAAAAATACGAGTATTTTACAAATACCAATTAAATATAAAAAATATACATCCATAAAAACAAAATAGTTTATTGAATGTTATTAAAAATAAAATTAAAAGTTTATATTTAATCAAATATTAAAAATCGTTGAATAAATAACTATATAAATAAATTTAAACTAAATACCAAATCAATAAATTCAATCACCAGTGATTCCCGATTTCCAATTAAAACTTTAAAATTGCAATTGATATTTACTAATATTGAAAAAGTATTGATAGAGAATATCAGAGAAACATTACAAGAAATAGTGATGTATATCAATAAATATAAAAAAAAACGTGTAAAAATATATGCATAAATATGGAAAAGGTAAGAAAAAATCTCCGAGTAAACCACCCAACCGATAAATACTCAGCATACAGATCATTCGTTAGTAATCGATTGATTTGAATTTAATTGCGTAATTATGTTCAATAAATTACGATTGATGATCAAAATATGATTTTAAATTAATCGATATATCGAGAACATATAATCATATTAAGTTCGGTTGAAATTTACTATTTTAAAAAATAAATCAAACAATCTTATTACAATAGTAGTTTAAAATTGAAAAAAAAAAGAAAATAATTATAAATATTTATTATACTCGGTTTAAACAACTTATTAACCATAACACTTAACTTTTATACGGTCACTGGGATATTAGTTAATACTGATTATTAATATAAATGATGATTATGACGACTGATGCAATGACGTTATAAATAGGTTATAATCATTGTGTGGTTGTTTTCTATATTTTTTTAAAATTTATTTTTATCATTATAATTAAATAATTATCAATGTGAGTGAACTACATACAGGGTGCATTTATGAATTTCACTAGAAAAGTAATTGCATCTAGACGTGTGCAACCAAGCAAATCAATTATTATATATACACATATTTTTATCAATTTAAGACCTAAAAACTTTTTTATTACTTTTATTACGCATGCTTCAATATGATACACATACCTTTAATATAATTACTATTTTTTTTAATTATATTTAATTACAACTACTGATATATACAAAAATTTGCGATAAAATAGAGTTTGATAAAGCAAAAAAGAAAAAAAAGCAAAGGTTAATTACAAAAACAAAAAGTTATAGCTGATATAGCAGAAGATGATTTGAAAATAAAAATAACAACAACAACAATAATGATAAAAAAAGCTTAAGAAAATCATAATTAATTAAACAAAAAAGCTGATATACTTACTGTTGACGTTCCTCCAATGTGACCATGCGATTACTGTCTGTATATCATTTAGTATGTCCAAATTACAAAGCATAACAGAAATAAATCAAAATGTTAGTTTTTTTTTTTTTTTTTTTTTTTTTTTTTTTTTTTTTTTTTTTTTCCAAGCTAAACTAGTATTATGATGAATTATGTAAATTTTTTTATTTATATATACTATTCATAAAATAAAAAAATAATAAAAATTAATGTCTTGTATCTATTATTTATATTAATTAAATAAATTGTTTAAAAAAGAAATCAAAAATTGGTCAATTTAGCATTTAATATTTGATAATAATATCGTTTCACTGTTTAAATATGAAACATTTGGAATGAATGGAATTAAATATTAATAATACTTATGTTATCTTATAAGATAAGTTATAAGCGTTAATTAATTGCTGACTATTTGTCTGTAGACGTGCATATAATGGATAAAAAATTATAATATGTCAAGCAACATGCTTATTTTATAATCATTTAAAATTAATATTATAATTATAATTTTATAAAAAGAAATATATATATATATATATATACATAAAAAATTTTTTTCTATTTAACTTGAAATTTTTTTTTTTACGTAAATAATAATTAAAATTTTAAAACAAAATACTTGATTTATGATAAATAAATATTAATATGCATTATTATAGCGAATGTAAATCTATTGGTCTTAAATTATATTTCTTTCATGCAATTTATGATTCATAATGATTATAATAATAAAAAAAATTTTTATAGATAACTTACATTTTGCGTGCATTTGTTTACGACGACATATCAAATAAACAATGACGCAGCAAACGACAATGGCAATAACAACAGTGACGATTATTATAATAACGATTATTAAAAGATCACCCTCCAATTGAAACCACCATGGAAGATTTCCTACAACATATATTTCATAAAAATTTTTTCTACTTTGTTGAATATTAATATCATTATTATTGTTATTAGGTTATTATTATTACTGTATAAAAATGAAATTAATATTTAAAATTTAACAATTACTAATAATTTATAAATTTTACAACTAAAAACTTACCTGCACGTCCTTGGCGTGCTATAACAAACGTCCTTAAATAACTTAAAATAATAAAAAAAAAAAAATAAAAATAATGATAATAATAATAATAATAATAATAATAATAATAATAATAATAATAATAATAATAAATATTTAATTTGCTTACCGGGTACTCCACGTTCACACGGAAGTGATGATCCAATAGAATTATTAGCAATACAGATATAAGTACGAAAGTTTGTAACCGCAGTGTCCAATAGAAGATAACTTTGGCCTTGGCGAATCTCAGCAAGTTGGCCAAGAGAATCATTGTCACTCTTCAATGACCAACTAAAGTTTGACTCCTTTGGGTTACCGACTGCTGTACACACCAGATAATCTTCACCATTAATACGCTCTTTATTTATTTGGCACTCTGGTTTATCTAAATTATTTTATTTTTATTAATAATATTGAAAAAAAAAAAAAAAAAACAAAACAATTTTAAATAAAAATTATAATTATTATTCTTACAAAGGACATTGAGATATGTTGAAATATTAAGAGTACCATGTCGATTAGTAGCTTCACAAAAATATGTTCCATTACTACGTTTAGGTACTTTTGTTTCAAAAACAAGAACTGGACTTTGGGATATTGTTTCAGTAGATCCTTCACGGTACCATCGAAAAGTTGGTTCAGGGTGAGCAACAGCTCCACATTTAACACTATCTGGTATAAAGTCAACAATAACGTCTATTATTTTTTTTGATATTGTCATATTTTCTGGTGGAACTGCAATTAATTGAAATATATGTTTAAAAATATAAAAAATTTGAATAAAAAATAAAAAAATTTGTTTCTATCTTACATTCAACTTGAAAATGAGTTGTACTATGTACTCCTTGACCAACATCATTATCACTACTAATACATGTGTAATTATCATTGTCTTTAAATCGATCAAGTTGTTTATTTGGCCATTTATCCAAATTCCAGGTGAGATTAGACTGAATACTCTCAAAATCGCTGGTACTTTGGTCAGCTGGATGGTATACATTGGTCACATAATACCTATCTGTTACTGTGAAATTAATTGGCTCGTTGTTCTTGATCCACGACACGTTGCAGATGGGTGAGCACTCAACTCGACATCCGATACTAACATTCACTGCGTTATATACGTAACCATGATACGGTGCAAGTGGATTTATAAATGCAGGTGGTGCTATATAAAAACAAATAAATAAATAAATGACAATATATATTATATATTATCTATATACCTATAATTATAAGAAAAAAAAAAAAATTGTATACAAACAAACCGGCAACGTCTATAAAAGTTGTAGCTGGATCACCGTCTCCAGCTTCATTATATGCGATGCACGTAAAATTGGCTTTGGTCCTGAGATTAACTGAATCAATGCTAAGAATTGATTTTTCTTGATCAGCAAGACGATGCATCCCACGTATCCACTTGTAACCAGTCACCGCTGGTCGACCAGGATCAGTTACAGTACAAGTTATATTCAATGAACTACCTTTTATAACTCGTTTTGGTTTATAGCTTATCATAGCTGGACCAGGTTTATCTATAATTATTTTATTATTATTATTATTATTATTATTATTATTATTTATAATTTATAATATTATTATAGTTAAGTGCGTACAGTATACAATTACTGGAGTACTTGGTGAAATTAAACCCCATCCAGCGTCGTTTCGACCCTCACATGAATAATTTCCATGAAATGAACGGCCGACTGCCTCCAATAGTAATTTGCTTGGATCAATGTCGCAAAATGTTAAAGTATCGTCCATATTTAATATTATTGTTGAATTATTTTTTATATTACAGTCGGGTAATTCTTTTAATAAATCTCCGTCTAAATACCATCTTACCGCATTCAAATTTATTGGATTACCGTTTATTACATAACATGTAAGAGATACATTTAAACGATCTGCCTCATTTATCGGTACCTCTGGTTCTACTAATACTTTAACAATAGGTTTATCTGTATAATATATTATTATTATTATTATTATTATTATTATCATCATCATTAGTAACAATAAATATGTATTTTCAATTAATATCTTACAAAGAATAGAAACATCAACAGTATTTTCAGGTGTTGACTCTCCAACGCTATTACTAAGTACACATTTGTATGTGCCCATGTCTGAAGCACTTGCATTTTTAACCGTAAGAGATGTCTGTTCTGTTACACCACCCTCATAGTGATCTTCATTTAATTCCAGCTCTTGATCATTTTGTAACCTATTTTTATTTTATTTTTTTTTTTTTAATGGTATAATATAATTTAAAATTTTTGTTATATAATATTACTTTATTTATTTAAAAATTTTATAAGAAAAAAATATATAAAATAAAATTCCGACGTGTATTTAATATTGAATTTAAAATACGAGACGTACCACTTGACGGATGTTAAGCCCGCAGGGTTGGCTTCGTAGTTGCAAATTATGACAAAGTCTTCAGTCTCGTTGACGGTAATGTTGGCTGGCCGCATAGTAATAATTGGAGCATCTATAAAAAAAATAAAAAAAAAAAATATGTATTCATTAAATACTCGTATGAATATTAAATAAATTTTTTAGTTTAATATATCTACATATAATAAAAAAAATTACATTTTATACATATTTATTTGCCTATATACTACTTTATATGTTAATAATGAGATTATATATGCAATATAATTTACTAGTTGATAGTGATTAGTTTATTAAAACATGTACCAAAATTTTAGGTGTTGTTTATATACATATATATGCTTAACACGCAAAGAAACTTTGTCAATTTTCTGATGTTTCTTAGCAAGTTATATGCAAAACCAGTGTCGATATTAGACTGTGGGTTTGTGCATAATAAGTAGTAGTACTTTAGTACTACTATACTGGCAAATACGACATAATTCGTATGTGAAAAACGTCCAACGTCTGCTTCTTGATCTCAATACGAGCGTATTGCTTTTTAAGATTTATTTTTTATATACGTGTTTTAAATTTTATGCTTTTATTATTATTATTATTATTATTATTATTATTATTATTATTATTATTATTAAAATAATTATCATTATTATGCAGTACTCATACTTGAAAAAATTTATAAATATATATAATATAAATACTTACACAAAACTTCAATTGTTGTAGCTTCTTTCATTGGTTTGATTCCTTCAATTCTTGTGACTGAATTTTCAGCAAAACAACTAAATGTCTGACCATTATCGTATTCTGATGCTGTGAATGCAAGATAACTGCTTGTTTCAGATGTACCATCACTCTAAATTAATAAAATTAAACAGTAAATTGATGAATTTGATTAATGACTACTTATAAGTTATGATGATGATTATTAGTATTATTGTTATTTTTATTATTAGAAAAACAATAGCTTATATGACCCAATTTCTGTTATATTGCTGGTTAGATTGTTATGAGCATCGAATTAAATTGTTATTGTTAGTGAACCGTTAATAGTTAATATCCACAAATAGTGAGTACGTTGCTGTAGTTATAAAGAAAATTTTTATTTTAGTATTTTTATAATTGTAATTAATACATAGATATTGACATTTGTATAGAAGCATTACGAAATTGCAATTAAAATATCCCGATAAGTATTTACTATTGCAATATACTATTAAGGTAACGCAACTGTTGCAAGTTACACTACATTGTTTAAGTTTTAATCTTATACAGTTTTCTTTTACTGTTTAATGTAATTTTTTCTTTATTTACCAATTTATCATTATATATAACAGATAGACTATAAAGTAACTTTTAGATAAAAACTTGGTAATAATCATAATAATAATAATTAAATTGGTAATTTTTTAACGATAGGAAAAATTACCGTAATGAATAATGTCAAGATATACACATATGTATATGCCAAATTGTATCGGTATTTATTCCGAGTTCCTAAGAGCTTTAAATTAATAAAATCATTATACATATAAATAGAATAAACATTTACTGTATTGAAATATCAATTTCATGATTTACCGTTGAGCTTACTATAAACTTGAATTAACACGAAATGAATAAACACACATATACATTCTTCATGAGTAGTATTGGATTTAATGTATTCACATGATCAGTACAAAACCACAATAATTATAATCGAATACAGAATGAAATTTGCCGCAATATCGATAGAACGACTAGACATGAATTTGCTAGTATTATATATGTGTGTTGGTTCTGTGGTACTATCGGGTACAATTTCAATCTTCTTTCTGTGATACAACATTACTAGCTGTGGTCAAGTATATGCATTGAATCTCTTATAATAATAATAATAATAATAATAATAATAATAATAATAATAATAATGCTGCAGAACTTCGGTGGCATCATCACACACTGAATAAGAGTACTCTTCTTGTCATCAAAGAAGAGTCTCTTAATAAATTGCGGGCTCTAGTGACTGCCAAAAAGTCACTAGAGAAAAGGCTGAAGCGGTTGGTTGAAAACTCGTTGTTTCGATCCAGCCCTTCACGCTTTCTGACACCAAAGACCGATGTTACCGGGAACTATCCAACACCTGAGCGGGTGGAAGCTTTTTGGACTGAGTTGTATGGAGATCAACCAAACGTGAACGCCAATACTCCAGCTCTGCATGACTTCAAAGCATTCTGTCAGGAACACCGTAGATAGAATGTTCATGAAGAGAGCCCTGCAGTCAGTGTGGACGAAGTTCGTTCAGCTCTAAATGGCAGCAAAAATCTGGCTGCCCCGGGACCAGATGGCATTAATGTCTTCTGGTGAAAGAAGTTCACTTCTACCCACCTTCACCTGGCCCGCATATTTACATCGTACATAAGAGCTGACGAACCGATTCCAGACTGGCTCGTGGAAGGGCGAACCGTACTGATACCAAAAAAAGGTGACTTGTCTGACCCAAAGAAATACAG